CCGGCAGATAGTCACAAACTCTATATGGCACATATGGACAGATACGCGGCAAAAAGGGCCTCCATCTACAGCACTTGACTGGTCACAGATGACTTAGAAATAATAGCACCTAGTATGTAGACGGTGAAACGGCAATAAGCAATAGGTTGCTGTAAGTTCAGAAGTTTTAATGATTGATTTCAAATTATTTCCAGCACACGTAAGCATAGCCGAAGTGTTAATCTGGGCGCCATTCAACCCTTCTAGCCTCACTCGCCGAACCGAACTGCCCATGAGTGAGAGTACCGGCAATCCGTAAGATAGTTCACTTCGAAGAGATTATGCGATCATTATAGGAGGGTTCTTTCCCCACAAGCGGCTCTCTCGTTTAGCTATATGGACTGAAAGATTTGGAAACTCAAACGGAGAATACGTTGTTGAACAGCGATTGAACACGAACCAATGCTTCTATCGACGCTTACTACCTACCTAGCGGTGCGGCTTAAAGTGATACGAAATGTCAGTAGGCTAGATCTTCTTTTAGCTGTTCTTCACTATCCCTAAAGTATTGTTGTTAAGTAAGATATCTCGCCATTCGCTGACGGAGTGAGCCACGAGATCTGAGATTGGATGTCCAGTTGGAGGACACTGAACGCCCGGCATCCAGCAGTTCTTTGAGGTTGTTCGTTGCATAGGTCGACGATCCACAACCGTTGCGCAGTGAAAGCGGCCTCACGAGTAGCTAGTGGAAGCGAACGAGCAAGTGAGGAACCGCTGCGGCGGTACCTTTGATGGTTCCTGACTAGAGGAGAATTTCGGCAGACACAATTGCAAGTTACAAATCACCTCCATCATTTATCAGGACACTGGTTTCGTTACGCAAATCTTTTGATCTCCCTTTCGTTGGGTGTGCATCCGTTACTTCAGTAACCACATAGGCACGTAGTCGTATGCTGCCCACAATGCTAAGTCTGAACTTTTTATTCGTGCATGTGGAGACGATGCGAAGCTGGGCTAAGATTTGATTCTGCCAGAAGTTTCGGGGGCGAAAGGCGGCACATTCATGTTATGCAAGAGCCGCAAAATGGCACGCATCAATGTACACATTCACAGAATAGAATGAATCTAGATCATTGTGGTTACCAACGGGTTGTGTGGCAAAAAGCCGGCGAACAGTTTGCCGCAGACAAGCTTCTACGTCGTACCCAATGCATAATTTGACGCGTAGTTTACAGATGGATATCATGAATGGTCATGCGTGTATAACAGTGAAAAAAGGGGGTTACATATCACGTTGCGTCATATCAGTGTTTAATGTTACGCGTAATCAACGCGGCCAAAAATAAGCCGCAATGCTAAAAAATAGTAGATGACACCTGACAGAAATGCTGGCGCCTGATGAACAAATATAGCAGCGTCGAAGCATTGTCGTTATATTATACTAGAAGTTATGAAGAACATTGGACCTTTGAAGATTTCAGTGGTAACTTTTCGTTTCAAATTTAAGTTGAATAGTCTGTTGACATCTTTCGGCGAAGCGAACAAGCTGGATTCGTCGACGCCGTCATGGCCGAATCCTTGACGGGTGTGCGTCGAAAGAGGTACGTCTAAAATTCGCTCTCCATCTTCAACACGGAAATAGAGGTCGGCTAGCGGCTGATATGATTGACCATGATGCTATCTAGGTGAGCATTCTCTGTTATCATTAGTGGCGTTATTTGTACAGTATTTATTGCCACTGCCTATTGTAATCATCGTACTATTTAGATCATGAATTTGGACGTAAGTGAACGGAAGAGCCAGCGGCAGTAATTTGCCATCGGTGGCCACAAGTCAGTCATTAGTCGGCTTTCACATTTCAATAGATTGAATAGCCTCTGGTAGTGGGAGCTGTGCCCGTATACAGACGTCCAGCAAAAATGGCCAACGATAAACAAGTCATTAATGACCCAAGCAGCGAACGATGGCGGCTATCGCTCCCACCACCCTCGAGTCGAGTGACAGACACCGTGGTCAACGCCTCAAGGCTGCCGTTGCCCTCCTGCTGCTAGCCCCGTCTACTGCTTCCGCCGAAGTCGCAAAGGCGGCCACGTAAATTAAAGAAACCATTTTTCAACCCCTCATTGTTTAACAGCTGAAAATCATCACGCGACAAATTTTAAATCGGTGTCCATTCGATATGCCCCCGTATCCTGCTTATCCACATTGCATCCACTTGTCTCTTTTTGTTTACGAAATTCTAGGTATTTTTGATCGATGCAATATTTGATAAGCAATGATTCTAGTAGAGCTGAATCAGACTGTCTACGTTGGTATCTGAACATACTAAGCAGGAACAAGGAAAGGCTCAAGTGAACAAGGAAGGCTGAGAAGCATGTTAGGCGTAGGCGACATCAAGGCTGTTGACGATGTTATTCACTGGTTTGCTAGCACAGCGGACTTTTTTTGTTATTTCGCTCACTGGCGTTGGTAACGATACGATAAACATTTCGTGGAAGATCAATCGATCCGTTCCGATTCTCACAAGGGGCAGCGGCCACAGGATTCAGAACCATGCGCTCTAGCATACAACCAAGATACACATGAAAACATGCAGCTAACGATGAAGACGTTAATAACAATAACAAGAACAACGATTAACATGTTGACAACGGCATTCGTCCTGCCGTTTGCCTGAATCGCCAACGCTACTACCACTGCTGCCACCGCCGCCGCCGTCATCGCAGTGGGTCCACAAAAAGAAAGCAAATAGTCACTCCATATATTCCATTACCCTATAATTATTTCGACTTACTAACTTTATCGACATCTGCTCGTTCGTGTGCATGCCGCACAAAGAACTCCTCATAGCCTTCAAGTCTATTCTACTCATACTATGCCAGACCAACTGGAGAATGGAGTACGCTCACGTGTTCCATATGATATGACACATCATAGAAATATGACGCTAAGGGCCAACGGTTTCCACGGCTGATGTGAAAGAAACATTCGATTTCTCCCCATTCGTACGCTCTGCTTCGCTAAGGAGGTGATAATCGGGCAAAACTACATAATCGAACAAAGGAATCGTTACAAGTCAACTATGGCGCACAATCCTGTCAAATCGGTGTTTTTTTTTTGTCGAAGAGATCCCAGGCGGGGATTGAAGAAAGAATCGTGGAAACAAAGCTGATACACAACGTCCATATGTTCGTTTGTGTGTGAACCGAATGCTTTATCACTAAGTAAGTAACGTAGTTAAACTTACTAAAACTGCTCGTAGTTCAAGACGTTACCAGTAGCAGAAATAGACAATATCTGAGATTTTGCCGCTGGCAATATTGCTGCCGTCGCCGTTGCTCCCGTCATCTGGGCGTATCGCCACTGCAGAATGCATGAATGTTCGTAAACGATGATAAAGCAGTGCCGGCAGTCGGCGATAATAACCGATATAATGAACTTCTTATTAATAGAGATTACCCGGCATGGCGGCAAGCGCCTCGATCGAGCGATCGACGTAGCCCGCTGCGGTGTCTCAGCTCTTTCTCTGCCATCGCTGCTATATATATATAATGCGCACCCATACTTGATCTGATTGGCGTTTTCGCTCTCGTAATGTTCATGCTTCTCAGAGGTGGTCGGTGGCGATTTCTTATAAAGTCGGTGTTGAAAAGTTTACCTTAACCAGCCTAGCGACTCTTGACGGTGAAGGCAAATCGAGTCGATTTGGACACAGACCAAGAGAATAAAGCCCCGCTTGTGTGTAAATGACTGAAATAAAAACAGGTTTGGCATGCTCAGATTTCTGACCGTTAATGTGGTATAATCGAAATCCTCAAATAAATTAATACGAGTCTAAACATATCTACGCTATGCCACCCTCCATATCAACACCGTAAATGCCACTGACCCTTGAAAAATGAAATGGGGCAAATAGCAAATCGCAGAATTAATATATACATTTTGTTTCTAAATCTGCTCTCTTTCTATACGACCAGCATGAACTCCCTCGTTATATACCGCTATCATTTAAAACACTAATATTAACCATTTTTATTATTTAAATTTGGCGGCCGCTAGACCGAATTAACTAACTAGCTTATATACATGCGCTTAAAGGTCTTGTATTTGGCTAAAAACAAATGGCGTAATAATAATGTAAATAAAATTTTGACGTCATTTTAGATTTTCGTCGGGTATTGCAACTCATACTTATTAATATTGTTGTAACAAAAAGAATGACGTTGAACTATATTTTAGATGTAATACGCTGACATATTTTATCTAATTATACTTTACCAATAACGAATAATCAGATGAGCGTAATCCATTATTGAATTAACGGCTACATTACATCTATCACGGGTTGTCTGTTGTATATATTGTGCGCGCACTTTGGTCGGCTCGGCACCGGTAAGTTAAACGCTATGACTTGAGAAAATTCGTACTTTTATCAAGAATACAACTCTATAGTAATAATCCTATTATGTTATATACAGTCGATCAAATCCACAGCACAAATCTATGAGCGAATATTATTTATGGTGCCGTTCCTCAGCGTGTCGATAACTCTGCAGGCCAGCTGGTCGAACAGGAAAGACTTGCAAAAGGAAGATGGGCCTTAATTAGCGATATATTCTTTTTCGACAAGATTCCAAGTGTGATTTTTGTGGTACATAATCGACACCAGTTCTTGCAAAACTAAGCTGGCTACTTTTAGGAAAACGCCATTATCCTTTTATTATGCTACTTTACGGAGACAGGTATGTGGTATGTGGGAATGCTGCTGTTTCGAGGTTGGACAAACAAACACACTTTTCACGTGAGACGTACTTGCTTAACCAACGAAAACTCCAATTTTATGTACGGCAAAAACTCCTATGCTGGTTTTCCTTAGGGTGTGTGGCGCCATCTCGCGATCGTTTGTCAGTTATCGCTAGTCCCAAGTTCGGTAGTACCGACAACGGCCGCTCGTGGCGCTGACACGCGCAAGCCCGGAAGCGACAAACAGACTTCCCCCCACAATGGTGCGACAGCAGCGCAACATCATAACACTGAATGCGTCGTCAGCCGATCGAACTGAGCCACGAGCCCACGTGGTTCGCCGATTTCTGCAGGAATACAATTACGAACCTCGTAAGAAAATCAATACGTATCGAAGGATAACGATCTGCAAACGGTGCGAACAAAAACTATGCAGAATTTAGATGCATAATGTTGGCAACTGTAGGCGAGTCTGGCTGTTGCAAGTGAGATTTTCTATGTTCTCCTGTGCGTTCTCTGCGTGGCAGTAACGTGCTCCGCCTCACCAGTTCGTCCATGTGGACCAGCTAATTAGGCTAACTGTGGTGCGAGAAATGGAACGGCGAACAGTTCCAAATATACTGATTACCGGAACACCTGGAACCGGCAAGACTACCCTGTGCTCAGAGCTGGCTAATCGTGTGGCTGATCTTGAGTGGATCAACATTGCTGAATTAGCCAAAGCAAATAACTGTTATGAAGCGTACGATGAGCAGTACGACTGCGCCATTCTCGATGAGGAGAAGGTTATGGACGAGATGGAGGATCGCATGAGTGAACCTTTTGGAGGGAAAATTGTCGATTACCATGGCTGTGACTTCTTTCCAAAACGCTGGTTTGACGTTGTATTCGTACTGCGCACTAATACAAAACTGCTCTACGATCGACTAGTGCATCGTGGTTACGAGGGCAAGAAGCTTGAAGATAATGTTCAGTGCGAAATCTTCCAAGTGCTGCTGGACGAGGCCAAGTCAGCATATGACGAGGAAATTGTACACGAACTTATGAGTGACACTCCGGATCAGATGGAAGAGAATCTTGAGAGAATCTGCACTTGGATTGAGAGCTGGCGAAACGCGGCATCGAATCGATAACCCTTTGTTCACGTTGAATTTTCTCACCATGCCGTAAAAACTTAGGCATAGCAAAGCGTTACTCGGCCGTCAAGGGCTGCTGGATGTGATAAACCTGGCCGGTGCCAGGCCCAGGTTCATGCATGGTGCATGCAGCGCCAGTCTACCAATGTTGTTGTTGAAACAGGTTTTTATCTTCAACCATCGCAGTACGACATGATAATCCTATTGGCAGGTGGCGCGTACTGCGGCGTATCCAATATTTCAACTGGTAACAGCTGACTTGCCCTAGAACTGAGTTAACTAACAGCAGCTCTGTATATAAATATGTCTACGGTTATTAAAAGGGGAACTTTGATAGAGCGAAGTGATCAAATTAATCGATCGCTGTTGGAACGTAGATATTGGATATCAATGTTAGCTGGAAATGAAAACGATTTGAGAAAAATAGGCTTTGCAAGCAACATTTGTTACGCGATTCTTCCAGCGAGGAGCGCTTCTTTGTACCTTGTTGCCATGAAGGACGAACCAGCAATCACGAATTCGCGAGCCATATTATTCGAACAACTATGCAATATGCCTGCAAACATAATTTTCTCGTTCGCTTCGGCAGCTAATGTTGATATACATACGTCCCAGGCAAAGTAAAAAGATCCGACGCAAGACTGCTCGCGTTAACTATCTCAGTATTGTCAAATGCGAAAAGTCAACGAATCAAAAAACGTCAACAAAACTTGAAAAAAAAAATAAAAAGTACACTGTTGTGAAGTTTCCTGCATACTAAAACTACGTTTCAGTATTTAGCTTCACGTACGTTTATACGTTGTCAATATAAATATAAGCGTGCCAGGTATATCGAGGGCACGTATTTCCTGAAAATGAGGTCGTAAACTAATAAATACGGGTATCTTTGTTTCGAACAGTTCACTACATGATCCACGAGGTTGCTGTAATGGCTGGTAAAAATCCAGATGTTCTAGAAAACATTCAAGTAAGAACGTGGCTATACTAACTATAAACCTGAATAATAATAAAGCAACGCGCACCGTTGACTTAGGGAAACGTCTTCGACAATTTCTTTGTAGACAGTATAGCATCATGGATATAAGGGCAGCTAAAATAATTGGCTTGAGACACATGCCCCCAAATGCCGTCATTATTTTGAAATTAAAATTATTTCAATAATTCTCCTTCCTTGAATATTTTCGATGCCACGGGTTATATCTTACTTAACTAATCGTTAGTAGAATCATTTATACTCTTTAATATAAATCGAGCAGTAATTGTGTGAAGATTATGCCGGAATTCCTAACTATCACCTCGTTCTAGAAGTCACGAACACTCCTCTATGTTCATTACCGCAGTATAGTTATGTAAAACATGATTCTGTAATAAAATAGAGTCATATAATAAATAGAAGGATCTTGCCGCTGTTTTAGTTTTGGACGAAAGTTTACAACGACAATATGACAAAAAAAATCTTCTATGTGTGGTAAAACCGTGGCCTGTCTATAAAAAAAAAATTACTTGAAAGCAGTGAAAATTTCGAATAGAGTATTTTCAAAACTCATAAAGATTCGTAAACTCTAGATATAATAATTCTTGTTATTCTACCATTCAATGTCTACTCTTTGGCTCGGGTAGGCAACAGCTAGGCAAGCCATTAAGCCCTGTGTAACTGTCTCTAGGACAAACGAAATTGATATACATTTCCACATAAACAAAAAAAATAAAAACTTTGTAATTAATAATCGGGCTCAAAACTGGGAACCCAATACCGAAGCGGTCGACCTATCTGTTTTATCAAAAAAAATAATTTATTTTTCTATAATAGAGTTGCAAAGGTTCAGTCGTATCCGGTTCAGCTACGAAATATAGATCTTCAGGAAAAGACGTGCCTATTACAGTTCCATGTATACATCCTTTTCATCTACGAATATATATATATATATATATATATATATATATATAACATCTTAGAATACAAAACAGACATTTCTATTTCTTTATTTAGGCTCCCAATTTCCTATTGTACGTGTACTATACAGTCATGCAAATTGTAATTTAGCTACTTACGTAAATCGCTGATATCTGTTGTTCCGCTGTCGGGTGTTGTATTGCTCGGTTCTTGTTTGATATAGACGTCAAGTCCGTCCAGATCTCCAGGCTCAACCTTTACTTGAACCTGCCGTGAATATGAACCCACAAATTTGTAAAAAAAAAAAACAACAAAAAGAGTTTTTAAGCAATGGTAGTTTCTTTGCCATCTCATGTAGGCAGCTTAATGGAAACTGGGTTCGATGACGGAAGACGTATATTTATTTTCAGTCATATAATATATATATATATTACGTAGCAAATGCCAAATAAACAGACTAATTTTGCTTAAATCAGATAAGGTTCATAGAAAGTCTCATATTGTCTATTTAGTAATACTGGTTGACTTTTCTACGACAAAGATAGATCTACATGAGATTTGTAAGTGCTAAACATAACCACATGGTACACTGATCCTCTTAGAGCTGTTTCAAGATGCTACATGGATGCACCGGCAGAAATCCAGATGAAGCGACAATAGATAACATATTGGTAAAACGGAACGGTTAGTCTCAGAAACTTCAATTTCGGTGATATAATTAATTTAACTAACTATTTAATTTGGTTTTAAGACTTTATGTAACCTTATTTTTACATTAGTGAAACTTACCGTTGAGAATGTGTCATCGGCTTGCAGAGGGGCAATGGTTGGCGTCAGATGTGACGTACTATCCGCACTTTTCCTACGCTTTCGTCGCCGCGGCGGTAGGTCGCCAAGAATGGTTAGATTGTCTAATTGTTTGCTTTGTGGCTCGAGATCGGCAAAGATAGACTCGATATTGTCGAGATGCGAATCGTTAAGCGACTTTAAGAGCTCTTCGGACTCTTCCGCGTCCGGAGCTGTTGCGAGCCCTGTGAGGTCGGTGTGGCTGAGCTCCGTGAGCGTGCCTTCAACTGGAGTTGGTCCGGTTGATACAAGCGTGATCGTGGTGTCCAGGCATGACAAATTGGTCAACTCTGTCATCGTTTTGTCACTCTGCTCCTGACACCATAAAAGGTCATCGTCGATGTACGGCATATTGTGTATTTGTTATTTCGAAACGGTCTCGAAGAAGACTCGTGACCACGTAATGCAATGCAAGGCAAAGTGGGCTGGGAACGCTCCACAGATAAGGAAAGGTTTATTTCTTTTTAAGGCTGAAGTGCAGCTTAAAAGCTAATGAGTTTGTACCTGTTTAAGGCTGCCAGGATCACCGTTTAAGCAAAGTAGACGATTATGCCTTTCTTGGTCCGTACGTTTCAATCGAGTGTATTTTTGTGCAAGCGCTAGCATGCAAAAAAATCTACGATATTGTATTTTTTCTAAACCACCAATTTTTTTTGGTCTTTGGTGGCGATTATAAAAAATCGAACGAACTATTTTCGTATATCGTTGCATGCAGAATGTTTCGACAAACTCTAAACGTTTATTCTTTCTATCATCTTTCGTCTAATAACAATTAACTAGATTTCTTCAATTGTCGTGTATTACTCGTCAACCTTCTGGGGTGGTAACGGCCCTCATAGTGGTAGAACCAACAATAAATACTCTTTCTCTATAACCTCTTACATATATCCGTAGTCTCTCTTTTTTAGCTTCTTCCGAAAATCTTCCTGTTTTCTTGCTTAAACCAATACGAACGTGAGCAACTTCATACCGGAGACCGTAAGCGTAGTCTGCGTCGTTACGTTCGATTACGTGAATGTAATATTCTCAATAGTTGGGATAATTATATTAATAATCAATAGAATGAAACATTAACTTAACAGAAACGGTGCCAGCGGCAGCATAAATAACAACGTAAATAACAGTAAACGAAGTTGAAAACTTTTCATTGAATGGAAAAATTCAATTCGGTGAAACTCGTTGCAAAAACAAAATCGTGCATTGAGAAGTCGATAACGATCAACTTTCTACTCGTTGCTGTTGTATTTCTGTCTTTGCTAGAAACAATAATGCTACTACTAATGATAAAATTGCCTAGTCGCCAATGGGTTAAAAGGCGAGCTGGGTTGGCACTCCGCTAGAGGCATCAGATGAAACGTCGACAGCATCGACCATTGCTGACTGGACACTGCGAACACCATGGCAATGCGGAACATCTTCGTTTTTGCTTACAGCTGCGGTAGCACAGCGTACACCGCCGATTCAAAACGGGCTAAGGCTGAAAATGCACCCACCCCAAATGTAATTCCTATTAGAAGGTGAACATACCATTCGGGCTATGATGATTTGAGGAATGACATTTAGACAATTAATATACTGAACGCTATTGTCTTTAATAATTTTTTTAACTAAATATTTTAATATGTAAATAAACGACTATACATATATATATATATATATATATATTACGTTAAATATACATTTCAAGTTTCTCTATGTTCAAAGATACTATGGATATCGAAAATATATGTCTCAATATACAATCACGCAAAAAAATCAACTACTAGTTAAAAAGCCAAAAAAATTGAAATTATTATTCAATGTTGAAAAAATTATAATATCTAGTTAACCCAAAAAAAATCTATTCTTCAAGCAATCTTCTTCATCTTGAAGACCTAAATTTGTGAAATATTTAAGCGAGCGTCTTCACCTTAAGAATCCACTGTAAAATCTGTTTATTCAAAAATACGTTGCCATATGTTCACCTCAATTTATAGCACTTGTACCAGAATCCTAGTATAAGATTACCAGCCAGTTTGACGATATGCTCAATGAACGTGAACAGTAGAAATGGTTGAAAATTTAAAAGCTGTTATGTTACAATACTTAAGGCATCGAGCTAGAGGCCAGTTTAGAGTTCTAACATAAATAAGAAAAAAAAAAGACTTGAAAATGACTTCAACTTCAAATAGACAAGATATTACTGCAGTTCGATAACTTCAATGATATCGTTCTGCTTCAAGATCAGAATAGACAATTTGACTCTACCATGAGTTATCAACTCAGAGAATCACTAACTAATCGATATATACTTAATAAATATGGCATCTATCTTAGATTGATTTCTCTAATAACAACCGACGATCTGATAGCCTATACAAACATTTTTGAAGAGCCTTCCACAAGTGCAGGTCTGGTCTCAGAAAAATATCTTCTGTGTTTTATTTCGAATATCTTACAAGTACGTCATATACATATCCTGAGCAGGAAAGCGACGAGGTAAAGCTGTCAGTGGAATGGCTCACAAAGACGAATGATCGGTTAGTAGAGCAGGTACAAGCCCTCAATAAAGTCAGCAACAGTTTACAAAAAAACCGTTCGGAAAGTTATGTTCGACGTGTTCTCGGCAAAAAAAAAGATACAACGAGACTGGAGTATCAATAGAGTTACTCTTCAGGGATTTCAGCTCAAAAAGACTTATGAGAAATAAGACAGTGACAAAAGTTGGCAAAATCGCTAATAAGGGGAAGACACAAAGATAGTAATATAAAAAAAAAGTACTAGCAGTATTACTAGTGCTAGCAGGACTAGTATTTTAACAGAAACTCCTTCATCGTACTTAAATATATATCGTAGCGTAAATATAGATAAACACGAGGGAATTGCGTGTAACGAGAATATGCACAAGTATAACTGCTGAAAGACTGCACAATCACTTCGACACTCACGAATAAATACATCTAATCTTAGTATTCGTGGAAATTGGACTAATTTCTATGACAGACGTAAACTACGACAACGTAATTTGCAGCGATCTGTTACAACAAGATGCCAAAGTATATTTCTGTGTGCCAACATCAAAATTACCGAATTTTCATCTCAGATAGTCGTCTGCGACCTTACCTTCCACGATAGTGCGATGTATCTAACATTGATCTATTTTTTGTCAATAGTATAACTCCAACGGCTGCTAAATTACATGAAGAAGCTAACCGTGGAGCTAGAAGGTCTCGCAGATTCACAGCATGCTAATGTAATGTCGGATGATCTCAGTCAACCAAAAATCAAGGAAGAAACTCTGTTATGACCCGGAACAGCTGAGAAATGTCTAAATAAAATATCTTACTCAAATACATAATACACACCAGGATCAATTCGTCACGACTAAAGAGCCACTTTTATACTGTATGTTGTTCTATGTAACGATAAGTCAGCCTCAAAAATGAGCGTTTAAATCTGTTCCCTACGGATAAAAAGAATTCAGACGTCTTTTTCATACTTGAGTGGATTAAAAAAGCACGTCAAGCCTAAAAACAAGGATACAACTCCAATAGCCAAGAATACGAAAACCCAACGCGGTACTAGGGAACACTATGCAGTCTGTACTGTGAAGGCGTTCAAGACTATGGTCGCAAAAGGATCGCGTCAAGGGACTCTCTAAATGTAACTTGTAGATCCTATGGAATATCCACCACAAGCAATAGAGAGAAGGTCGAAAACCTGAAAAACACTTAAAAAAGACATAGGCCATCGATGAAATTTGAAAACGTTCGCAAGAGCAGGACCTCTTCAGAATGCTGACGATGCCGTCGTTGTCTGTGCAATAAACATCTGGCAACATCTGAAGAAGTTACAGTTCAAAGCAAATAAAACGCCAGATTCTTCTTATGCTTTTAGTCACGATCAAAAGCTTGGATTGTTAATTAATAACACGTCGCTCTCATCAATCTTTCAAAAGTCCTCCGACGAATGAGGAATACTAGAAATCCTTAGGATAACTATTGTGTCTATAAAAAAAAACGTTAAAAAATAGATCCTTCGAGTATTTGACCGGTGCCAGTAACTGCTATTGCGCGTAAAATCCTGAAAATTATTACGGCTCAAACTACACTCAAAAATTATCAAAAATATCAATACACAATTCTTCTGTAGACAAAAATACGGAAGAACATTGTAGCTGGATATTCAATTTGACTGGGACACCTAATGTAGCGAGTCTCGATCCCTCGGTACTGTGAACTTCGAGTTCAAATTTGTTTTCGAATGCGTTATATACTGGAAATCGCTGACCGTCTTCCGCTCGTTGAGGGAAAGCGTTTATCAATTTAAAACTTTCAAAATACGTGTAAATGGTCAGTATTCCGTGAGTGCTAGTGTAATGGGTGAACGTCTTCGGGACATCATGCATTGTACATAGACTCTCCATTGTACACATACGCCGCCGTCAATATCGGCGAAAATATACGGACCTGAATATTGCTTACAAGAGAATTCTGTTATGCACCAAGCTTTGGTAGACTTTTACGAATGAACTAAAAGATTAGATTTAATACTTTCTTTTAAAAAGTGCGCCGTTTCACAGTTGAGTATAGGACTACAAAACAAGATTTTAGCATAGGTAATGTAAATCTTAAGCTCCATAATGCAGATTTATTATCACTAAATTTACCACTGGATGTCAATTGGCTTGCAATTTTTTTTACAAATACACGTATTCGAACTTGATGTAGCCATCGATCTTAACACCATGGAAAATCTACGTTTATTCATAGAAAAACGATAGATTTTTTATGGATCGGTTATTTTTACCAGGCGTAGTTAATATCGATATACATGAAATGTCGGCAGGCTTATAGTTAAAGACTTAGGTTTACGTTTACGCCTCCAAAATGTCCAGAATATACAGCAGACGTAATAGTTGACACGACGTTCCAACTGGATTTTACGGACTTACTGGGTCAGAGATCTTGATTTATATATTCGCAGAGAAGATTGCATATAAGCGCCACTGTAGCAGAAACCAAATTAAAATTATAGCCATTTCTGAGTGCTAGCTAAAGCTAAAAGAGATGTTTTAGAAAAATGTATAACAACAAAATAGTTCATGAACGATGTCTTCCCATGGAAGCAATCACGGAAGCAATATTCAAAAACTTAGTACCGCGCCTAAGTCTTCTTTTGTAAATTGTAGCAGTTTTTTTCGATGAACGTATATACATATACAGGGTGTTTCAAAACTGAAGGAGGAGTTGACAGAATCCATTAATTGAAGCACTTTAAATTATAAAACCATGGGGCACCAGTATTCATTTTATCTAGGGAAATAAAAATTTATTAAAAAAAAGACTTAGCCAGTATCCCTGTGGAATTATGTGATTGTCTAACAAATTGATTTGTCGAAAGATCTCTACCATGGCCGAACGCTTAAGATTCGTGCAAAGGTAAGACTCTGTTCTTTCATTGCTGTCACTCCAAGACCATTGAAACTTGCGGAAGTTTTTCTAAAACATGCTTCAATTGTTAAAAACGTGGCATTTCATCCAAACAATTCACTGCTTTGTGAAGTAGTAGTTCATTACCCATCGTAGCCAAGTGTTGATGCTACAATAAATATTTGAAATGACAGTCCTTAAGTATAACGCGCCCTTGACATGGTAAAAACTTACTGACAGATGTTTTCGAAGGTAGCGGGTATTTCTGGGACAAATCCTGCGGTCAGAGTTACCAAGTAGGCTTCAGACTATCAGCTTAAGTAGTTTAGCTCCTTTTGATATTGTCGTGCGTTTCTATTTGAACATCAATATTTAGAATTATTTTATTAACATTTGGGGGCCTGTTGTTTGCAGTGGGCCCACTTAGCGAGTTCTATTTATTTTTTTTAATGAAAGTAGATGAAAAGTATTGATTTTCAAGCGATGGATTGATTTTCTTGTATTTCGGTCAGTAAAAATGTTTTTCACTGAGGCACTCGTTATCGGCTTGAAATACTCGATATCTTAGAAAATAGGTGTTCGCACTAAGCGTGCGGTGAGTTAACGATCACTACTTCGACCACTTTCTGTGATGTTCATGAATAATTTGGCTAAAAAGTTGACTGCTCGTTCAATTCTGCCACATCGCACGATTGCACTGAATTCATCTTAACTTACTTTATCCCAGAGTTGCTGAAGTTTGACATCAGTGTGCATGTAGGAGAGAGTCTGCGCCTCTCATCCTTCATGCACATACTTTTACTTTTCCAAGCATTTCCAACACAATCATCTACTTCCTAAAAGTATATCTGGTATATCACTTTTTCTTTCATAATTTTCATAATTTCAACTTTAAGAGCTCAAATTCCAGATAGCCCACTGGGAAAGACTATGAGGTCTACAACTTCCCTTATAACTTACCTCGAGTCCTGAAGCATCCTGTACGAGTTCCTAACGACATGTGCGCTAAATGTCATATTGACACCGCCTATACTATCTTAAAGTCTATATCGTATGGAACCAAATA